GGATCTTTTTACAAAAGTAACTTAGAATGACATAATGTAAAAGGTTTAGAAATCTATTCTACTTTGCATGATCTCTGTGACACATGCATAACAGAAATGACTTAAAGATGTTGCCCTGTTTCTCATCTGGGTTAAATAAGAACAACGCTCAAGAACCACTTACAGTCCAGTTGTGACCATCTTTTTGATCTAGAACAGGGGTGTCAAACTGGTGGCCCAAAGGCCGGATGCATCACATGCAGGCCACGCCCACCCCAGCTCTGCGAAGGGGGAAATCCATCACGAAATGTAATGTGACAGCAATGTGATACCACAAGTTTGACTCCCGTAATCTAGAACAACTTTCCTCAACCAAATGTCTTCCAGATGTGTTTCATTCAGACCCAGTCAGAACACTTCTAAATGTTTAGACGTGGTTGGAAGTTATCTAATGTGGGGTCCTAGCATATTGGAGGATGCCAAATTGAAGCAGGCTGATTACCCCAACATCATCTGGCCAACTTTCATATCAGAGAGCAAGGCAGCAATAAAAGCTACCTTTGGTATCAAGAAACAGATAATAGTAAAACAAAACAAACCCAAAAGCAGAAGTTGTGTGTCTTCATTTGGAGGTTTTGTTCTCAGGGGAAATTAACTGTTATTTTAACAATTGCTAAGTGAATCATGAAGATGGAATGACCGGACATGTGGAGGTGCTGTTTTCATCTGTGCCTCTTAGTTAAGTAGAAGTTTGCAAGGCATCGTAATTCTCGGCTGAGATTAGTTAATTCGATATGCAATGGCAAGTGACAGGTTTCCTCTCTAGCAGCCAGGACTAGAAGCAGATAAACAGGCACACAAGCACACAAGACCTTCTGGTTTATTCTAGAACAGCTAGAAGCCATTCACTCAGCCACCCACCCCAAATTCCAGAAGGTTTTGGGTATCAAATACAACTTTTATTGATACAGATGGTCCTTGACTTACAACCATAATGGAGCCCTGCTTGCCCATTAGTCATAAGTCACAGTGGTCATAAATGGGTCACCCATGTGACCAACCAATTTTTTTACTACCTTTTCTTTACAGAGGTCATTAAGCAAATCCACAGTCATTAAGGAAATGCCACCCTTGTTAAGCAAACCCACTATTTACCATAGGTCTTTTTTTTTTTTGGCTGAAAACTGGGAGTGAAATATCAGGTTTGGGGGCAAAAATGTCATAAATCATGTTCACATGATTTCAAGATGCTGCAAACGGCTGAAATTGTGAGCTGGCCAAATGCAATCATGTGACTATAGGGGCAGAGCTGTTGGTACTTCAAAATTAGGTCGTTAATAGCTTTTGGGGGATGATTGTAACTTTGAACAGTCACTAAGAGACCAGTCATAAGTTGAGGACTACTTCGAGATGTTTGTGCACCTTTCTCCTAAACATTCTGTGTAAGGGATTAGAAGCAAGCAACTAGCTTTTGTGGGAGAGAGACAATTTCCAACTATTTGGTGTTTATGCCATGTCTGGTATCGAAGAGTTTTGTCTTTGATGTGTGAGAAACAGTTGTCACAGTATGGCTGCCATCCTGCAAAATAACCTCACTATCATTATAATAAGGTAAATGGTTTACAGCTTGTAATTTTTGTATATAGTGCACTTCTACACCCCAGTTAAGAAACAACAGTAGTTATCTGAAAAAATCAAAAACTCTTGAATTAATCATCCGTCTGTTTACGATTCTTTTACTGGTTAAGATTACAAGATCACATGCATTGAACTGAATATGAAATCAACATTCTTAGTTTACATTTTTCAACAACATCATTGATCTTAAAGGTATACTGTAAGCAAGTAAATTGAAAGAAAAAAATATTTGCAAGAGTGTTTGTGAGTGTTAGAAACAAAGAGGTCACCAGCAAAAACAATCCATTTTCCAGAACATTTAAATAAATTCAGAGCAGATGCTTAAGATAGTTTATTATTGATGGCTATATAAAATATAGTACCCATTGATAGGTCAAAAGTAAGTCTTGTTAAATGTGGCTGGTTTTAATATTAATTAACGTTTTAATGGAATATTGTTAGCCAACTCAGTTCATGTAGTTAGCTTGTGGTTCAATGAATTGTGGAGCGCCAGGAAATAGTTTAATTCAGTGAAGAGGTGATGCCCATGAGTTTCATTAATAATTAACCAAATTTAAGAGACCAGTATTTATTTGCGGTAAGATGAAAAAAAATGCATTATAGACTGAAATCTAGAATAAATTTAGGTTACTAATTTCCTAAACCATCTTACCACAATCTGATGTTTTCTAGATTAATGTTCCCTTCCACATTTGAAAGTGGAAGATTTTTTTTCAATCACTTAATAATCATTAAGTGAACCAGTAAACCTAAGTCTTAACCCAGGTGTAGGCTATATACATTGACTATATATATGTACATATCTACTACAAAAATAGTTAACAGAAAGAATTTCACCATTCCAGACTGTGGCTGGTTATTTCCAGTTCTAAATTCCCCTTTATTTTAAAACAAACTAATCCTAAAACTTCCTGCAAATACTAAATAAATATGTAAAATAAAAAAATACGAGAAAAAATATGTCATCCATGCTTATTTACAGCTATATTCTTTACAAGCAAATTCAAGATTTCTTCTTTTTGTGGTTTTGAGCTAATGTTGACTCCTGGAATCTGCCTGGACAAGTCCCCTGGACAAGTTTTTCTTTTCTCGGAAGTGGTTTGCCATTCCCTCCTTCCTAGGGCTGAGTGACACTGATTAGCTCAAGGGTGCCCATCTGGCTTTGTACTCAAGATGGGACTAGAACTCACAATCTCCCAGTTTTTAGCCTGGTACCTTAAGCACTGCACCAAACTGGCTCCAAAATTCAAGACTGGAGAATATTAAAATTATATAACTGTTTTCCTGTCATCTGCATTAGGATAATCCATTCTCTGTCACTTCAGTTCTTAGCTGGATGCTTTATTCTACTGTAGACTCCAGCACATCTGGTGAAATATTAAAAAAAAAAACACCACATGCACACAGTTCAAAATGAAAAGCGAAACTGTGTGATTGGAGAAAATGAAGGTCATGGACTTGAATCCTCTCTCCCCAGCAGAAGTCTAACTAACTACAAAGCACGGTTCTCAAAAACTCTAATTTATATGGCCTTTGCTCCAGATTTGTTATTGAAACACAACACCTGAGACAAGGCATATGCACCCATTTCGTGTATGGCACCAGTGAGGGGAAGACATTCAGCATCCATACAAATGCAAAGGCTGCGTGTCCCTTTACTGCTTCTGCTATCACAACTCCTAGCTAGTGTATTCTGTCACATGTCACTTTCCTAGTTCCTGTTGAAAAGCTGTTCTTGCTTATTAAAGAGGAACAAAGCTTTGTGTTTCAAAGCCAAAGCTGCTCCATCACCCTTGGGAGAAAGACATCATTTATATGAATGTGTTGTAGTGTACTGAAGAGATAAGAATTACTGTAATGCAGTGTTCCTTAACCTCAGCCACTTGAAGATATGTGACTTCAACCCCAAAATTCCCCAGCCAGAATGTATTTGTTTGTTTCTCATTCTTCTTTCATTTCTCCCCAGTCCACCCCACTTTTTTCTATATTTTTTTTTTCTGTTTGTTCATATTTTATCTGATATGGCAAGTTATACTATGATCAACTCTTTCCAATTGGACTTCTAACAGTAGGAAAATACGCTCTACATGAATTACTGGATGAGTTGGTTTTCCATAATTGCCTGGAACTGATGATGACCCTCTGCACCTTATATTACCATCTTTCCTGGTTTTGCACCAAGCATTTTTATTGCCTTCTATTCAGTCTGATTTAGAGAAGGTTTTTTTTTAATGTGTAAAATCACAGAACCTTAGAGCTGGAAGGGACCACAACAGTGATCTAGTTCAGCTGCTTGCAAAATACAGGAAAACCAATTAAGTCTCTTATAGTTCCCTATTCACTTGTGCAAGGCAACAGTACACCTGTGCAGACAAAACATTGAGCAAAGCCCAGACTTGAGTTTTGAGGATCAGTTTAGCCATCTAGCCAAACCTGCAGTGCCCCTTCTTGGCAAATGGTATCTCTCCAACTGAGTGACCAAATGGACCTGCAGGGTTCATAGATGTGTACATGTCAAGAAAGTCTAGCATAGCATTGCTGGCTGGGGAATTTGGGGGTTTGAAATCCACACCTCTCCAAGAGGCCAACAATCAAGAAACCCTGCTTTAACAAACAAGGATATGCTGTCAAACCCACAAACTTTTTGCACATCTATTCTTCCCCAGTGCTGAAAATCCATAGGATTTCATTTGTGTTCTTGACTAGTCCTTAGAACTGACTGTCCTTGGAAGGATATAAGGGCACAGCAGGGTCTTTTCCTAGTCCAGTAATTTCCAAAAGGGTTCAGATTAAACTTCCTAGAATGGAGCTGGATCAAAGCTGGAGATCCTGGGAATCCAAGCTATGGTTGGGAGGCCTCAGATTGGGAACGGCTGGGAAGCACCTGAGGCTCATCCTACAGTAAGATTGGCACCTACATCTACATTTTTCAGCCTTGAAGATCCCAGTGGAATTTCCCAGTTGCTTGTTGCCAATCCCTAGAACAACTTTAAGACTTGTGGACTTCCAGAAGTCTCCAAACTTGGCAACT